CTATCTGGAGCTTTGAAGACATTCAGTCTCTGAAAACTGATTACCTGGTACTGTATACAGTAATCCTTACTCGTTGTACGTATAGTTTTGCTTAATTAATATTCTTTTTTAACAAAACATTTAATATATAATTAATTAAGCAGGAAGAATCGTTCAGGAGGCGCATCAACAAGTTGAAGGAAGATGTTATGGTGATACTAGAAGAAAAAGAGATGGACAAGGTTCCTTTACAACAACTCGAGCTCATTGATACGTTGCAAAGGCTTGGATTATCTTACCATTTTGAGAATGAAATCAACAGAATTTTGGAGAAAGTATACACAAATAATCAAGGTTATTCTTATGGCTTAGAGAGAGATAGTTTATACATGGCTGCGCTTGAATTTGGAATCTTAAGACAACATGGGTACAGAGTACCTCAAGGTAATCAATCTCAAATTTTCTTATGTTGTAAATTTATCAAACGGCTGATTGATGGAAAACTACTCAAATCTTGTATTTCTTTGCAGAGATATTCAAAAGTTTCTTAAATGAGAGTGGAAACTTCAAGGCTTGTCTCAACAAGGATTGCAAAGGAATGCTATATTTGTATGAAGCTTCATTCCTTTCATTAGAAGGTGAAAGTACACTGGATGCAGCTAGAACTTTCGCGAGAAAGTATCTTAGTGAATATGTCAAGTTAAACGAAGGCAAAAATCCTTACCTTTCAACACTAGTGGAGCATGCACTGGAGTTTCCACTCCGTTGGAGAATGCCAAGGATGGAAGCAAGATGGTTCATTGAGGTTTATCAACGAAGTCCAGATATGAGCCCCCTCTTGCTTGATCTTGCCAAGCTGGATTTCAACATGGTGCAAGCGATGCACCAAGAAGATCTAAAACATGCCTCAATGTAAGAAGTTCAATAACTTTAATTACCTTAACAAATACAAATTAAACCTTTGGAAAGAAAAAAAAAAAAAAAGAATCTCATGATGTGAAAAATAATTTTTCTTTGCACAAATTAGGTGGTGGAAGAGAACAGGTCTTGGACAAAATTTGGGGTTCATCAGGGACAGATTGATGGAGAATTTCTTATGGACTACAGGAGTATTGTTCCAACCTCAGTATGGATATTTTAGAAGAATGGTCGCACAAGTAGCTGCACTAGTAACAACAATAGATGATGTTTATGATTTATATGGAACCTTGGATGAACTTGAACTTTTTACTGATGCCATTGAAAGGTTTGTGCTTAGTAGTGGCTTTTATTTGAACTTAATAATTTCTTTCATGCTTCAATTGTTCTATCGGATTTCAGATGGGATATCAATGCAACAGAGCAGCTCCCAGACTATATGAAGTTATGCTATTTTGCGCTGCACAACTCCATGAACCAAATTGCTTCGGACATTTTTCAGAAACAAGGAATAAACATCCTTCCTTACTCAAAGAAAGCGGCATCGTTACATAATTCTTGACTTGAATGACTTTGTCTTTGTTTTCTCTAACTAATTCTTTCAATCTTAATTTCTCCTAGTGGCTAGAGTTATGTAAAACTTACTTGATAGAGGCAAAATGGTACCACCAAGGATACACACCATCTTTGCA